TCGTTTTAAGAAATTGTATTTTTTGATAAGATCCCCTAATTTTCGGAGAACTTGGTTTCAGACAACTGGGTTTCGGAGAATTGAGTTTCGGACAACAGGGTTTCGGACAACTGGATTGACCCCTATGAGGGTTGATCATACATCAATTGAACATGGAGATTTTCCTGTACACTTTTCCCAAACATGTGGAATAGACTAGATGCGAGTAGAAATTATCTTGATTTATCCTATGCCTAGTAGGGTTTTAGGGAGATAAGTTGGTAAGATATATCCCGTATCCTGATTTTGAGGTTTCCATATCAAGAACCTCCATATCTCCCGTCATATCTCCCGCTTCGGTGCATATCTTCCCGCTTCGGGGCGTATCTTCCCGCTTCCAAAAAGTGGAAATGCAATAAAATGACTTTGCATATGAATGATTTGTTTATCTTTTACACCTTGTACTACTGAAAACTCTACTTGGTATAGGATAAAGCAGTTATGTACGGTAGGTTTGGATATTGGGTTCATCCCTCGTGAGATATGCACATCTACTTTCTGTCCCTACGGTCCCTCAGGTAGATATGCATATCTCCCTCTGGAAAAACCCCGTATCCAAAACCTCCCAGTACATAACCCTTATTTATCCCATGGTTACAAGGATATAGATCGAATATCACGTGAAGATATAATTGATACGTGGATGAAGATATCATATTTTAGCAAACAATTCCCAAATCATCGAATATCACTTTTGAAACCATCGAATATCACTTTTTGAAAGGTGATATTCGATGGTTTCAAATTGATATTCGATGGTTTCAAAAGTGATATTCGATGGTTTTGATTTTTTCAATTTTTTTTATTAATTCAGCAAAACGATTGTTTATGAATACCCAGCAAGAGCTCAAAAAGTTCAATCATCTATTTATCTCAAAAAGACCTCAAAAACTGAGCTTGAATTAGAAATATGTCTTCTAAAATCTTCCTCGCCTGGACCTGATGGGATTCTACCATCACTTATTAAGTCTGTAAGACAGTTTTTAATTGATCCGCTCTTGTATATATTTAACTTATCTTTTAAATCTGGTATTTTCCCAGACGCCCTCAAATTGGCCAAAGTAACACCTGTATTTAAAAAAGGAGTCACTATAAATCCTTCGAACTATAGACCAATTTCAGTTTTATCGGTATTTTCTAAATTGTTAGAAAAGCTCATGCACGCCAGACTCACTGGTTTTTTAGAACGTTTTGAAATTATTTTTACTTATCAATTTGGATTTCAGAAATTCAACTCTACCTACATGGCCATTTTATATTTCATTGAACAAATTCGAAAATCAACTGATTTGGGGAAAACGAGCATTTGCATAACATTAGATTTTTCCAAGGCCTTTGACACTATTAATCATGACGTTTTGATACAAAAACTTGAATATTATGGCATCAGAGGAATAGCTAAGTCCTGGTTTGAAAGTTATTTAAAAGACCGCAAACAATATGTCACCATTAACAATTATGAATCTAAACAATCATCTCTAAATTGTGGTGTTCCGCAGGGCTCGGTACTTGGACCACTATTATTTATTCTTTACATAAATGATCTGCCTTTTGTTGACCCTAATCTAAAATCTATTATGTTTGCTGATGACACCAATCTTCTTGATAGTGATTATGATTTAAATGAACTTATGACTAGAACTAATGCAAACTTGAATTCAATAGATGACTGGATAAAAGCAAACAAACTTTCACTTAATATTGGCAAAACCAATGCTATTCTATTTGGACCCCAAAAAAATCAAACAAATCTGAATCTCAAAATACGCAATGAGAACATAAATTTCCGGGATAAAATTGACTTTCTTGGAATTATTATTGATAAAAACTTGAAATTTAAAGAGCACATAAAATCTATTGAAACAAAGATTTCTCGCGTCATTGGTTCTCTTTATCACATTAAACATCTACTTCAAATAGACAGTTTCAAAACAATTGATACACTCTCAATTAAATTATTGCAACATAATCTGGGGTAACACATTTAAATCATTTTATGATCGTCTACATAAACTGCAGAAACAATTCTTAAGGCTAGCTTTAAATAAGGATAGACTTTCTCACTCCGCTCCCTTATTTGAAGATCTTAACATATTAAATATTTTTTATGTCAACAGATATTGTACTGGTCAGTTCATGTACAAAATCTTTAATAAGCACCCCAGTCTTCCAAAAAATCTATTTCAAGACTTGTTTAATATTCATCATCATTACACAAGACAATTGCATTATTTTCATATCCCTAAATCACGGTGAGCAACCATACCGCACCGGGGATCGACCCCGGTGCGTTACACTTAAATTGTAACGCTCCGGAGTGAAGAAAAATGGCGGACAATGATAAATGCATAATGGACGTGAGTAGAAATTTTTGATTTACGATGTTTCGTGATTAGGTACGAAGAACTCCTATGTACCATTCAAAGTACAATATATTAAGGAATGATCCAGATCGATTAGATCAGTGATAACTAGCCTATATAATGCAAACAAGATGTAAAAGCACAAGCAACATTAAAATATTTTGATGTTTTTTATTCTTTTTATGAAATATACAGAGTATTCCTAGATTGTGCGAGAATATATCTTATCAACATGATCCTTATGGTTGCATGCAAAATTGTGTCAGTTTAGGAGTTAAATGGTGGTCAGTTTTATGAGATATCACTAAATCTAGTTGTAACGCACCGGTCATATTAGGCCAATATTTGGAAACGCACCGGTGCTTTATTCATTTGTTAATATTACCCTATATTATCGGTCATACTGATAACATAAGAACAATAATATTTCCAGATGTTCGGTATCGTACCTCTAGATCCCCCCCTGGATGATGTACTGGTAGGTGGAAACACTTCGAATACGACGCCACCACCGCCTCAATTGAGCATAATGACACCTATGACCCCAGTAAAATTCACGGTTGAGGGTACCGGCTGTATAAGAACGGACACACACGAAATGTTATCAAAGTCACTGGTCAGTATCAAGATGCGGTAACGGCCGTTACCTTCTCATCTAAGATGGCGGATGGTAAATGTCGATTTCGATATATTTTGTTTTCATCGAATTAAACTACTTTATAGTTGACGTATTGCTTTGATATTTGAACTTGATAAATCTAAGATATCATGGAAACTTAGGAGTATGACCATTTATTCTTAAATCATACGTGGACGCCATAATTCAACTGTATGTTACACCGCTTAAGGGAAGGTAAATGGAAGTGAATTTTGCAAAATCGAACTCTCAGTTACCTTCCCTTAAGCGGTGTAACATATAATTGAATTATGGCGCCCGTGTATGATTTAAGAATAAATGGTCATACTCCAAAGTTTTCATGATATATAAGGCTTATCAAGTTCAAATATCAAAGCATTGCGTCAATTATACGTAGTTTAAATTTGATGAAAACAAAAAATATCGAAATCGACATTTTTCGTCCGCCATCTTAGATAAGAAGGTAACGATCGTTACCGCATCTTGATTCTGACCAGTGAAAGTGTCATATCTTTATCGCCTGTAGTATGTATTACCGTATTTTGCAAACTATCACATTTCGTACTCTGATTTTTTATGCATTTGTGTATTGTATAGGGTGTTTCATAATTACCCTCTCCCATCCAAAACCAATCCTAAATCACATGGGCCTTTAGATTCTCTTAATCTACACATCATCATACATCTTTTTTAATAATGCACTTATGGGCTAAATATTGGAACGAGTGATCGTTGGGACCATAATTTGTGGATTTATGTTTTGTCGTCACTATCATCCTAATTTGCTGGATTTATGGCTTCTATTTGTACATTGGGTTTAAAGAGAGGGACAAATAATAACATTATTATTCGTATCATTAAGAGCTTAAAAAAGAGCGTAAAAGCTGCAGAGCTTAATCAAAGTTGTTTTAATAAGTCATGAATTGATTGAGCTTTCCTATGATATTATAACACATGGAGGTGCGCCATCTAGGATTGGTGACTGACAGGGGACGGTCATTATGAAATACCTTGTTATGTGAAATGTACTTCCAGAGTGAGGGTTTGCTTCTAAAGCTAACAACCATACCTGTACGTCATGTTTGAGGTGGAACTAAGGGAATACCACCTCACAACCTCCAGGAAAAGAAGCCACGATATGTTATTCATTGGGAATTTGTCTTTCGCGAGGAGTCTTAGTAGCATAATGAATTCGGTGCAAAAACTGTGTCTTCTGAGACACAATATGACATTTGGTAGCATCAGTGTTATGACGTGCACGGACCTGGGGACAATTCGGGAAATACGGGCTAATCTCAGCTCTAAGCGTTAATATCTGCCTTATTTAAAAAGCTAACTATGTGTATTATATATGATTTTGAAGTATTTTTTATTCGCATTTCACTGAAACTATTTTTCCTTGAAAAGTATGATGGGATCTACCATATTTTTTAAGTTAAATGTATTCCGACATCGTTAGATACGCTGTAAGGCGTAACATTTCACGCTTACACGGTTCGTTGAAATCGGAATAACTTTTGAAATACTGATCAGAATTTCACTAAAATTTCACATTTTATTCATTGAAACATGTGCTTTTATGACGTCACAATTGCCTAGCGGCTACAGTTCAAATCGTCTTATATGAACGCTTTTAAGATTTTCAAAATTGTGTAAGGTTTTGAAGGCGAAGGAGACAAGCAATAAGTTTACCTTTATTTAACCTTCTAATTTAGGTCTGATTTCAAAAAAAATTTAACTGCACAATATTGTCATGGCGAAATTTACAAAACAATAACCGATTTCTTTATTTTTCAAATAATAAGAGAATAAGAGTTGCTTTTAGAGACTTGAAAATGTAACACATCGATTTTTTACCACAAATCCCATACATATCAATTTTTACTAACGCCCCGAGTGGATTTCCTGACCGTTTTTCAAAAATCAAAAACATTTTAGAAATATTGTCCTCGAGATCTTCTTGCTCTGTGAATTTCACCAGGATTGGATAAGAATAAAGCATCTTATTTTTAGGTTGACTAAACTTGACAAAATGTAACGCTTGTCGTTTCTGACGTTATAATGCTGATTGCGCCCTATGCTGCCCATTGTATTGTTTTTTTATTTTGACGCCATAATGTTACTCTAATTGTCCCCTGTTTCGTGCGACGTGTATGTGTGATTGTTCAAACAATGTTTTTCTAATTTTTGGCTTTTTTCTTTTCTTTGGTGCATTTTCCTAGCACTTCTGATAGCCTTTGCATTAGCATTGATTGGTGTCTTAAGTGATTTATCGTTAGTTGTGGCTTTTGTACAACCAGCGTCGCTTGTAGTGACGGTAGGTGCAATTTTCAGGCGTTTCTTGTATCTTGAATGCCCAGTTTGCAGTCCAGAACTTCTCCGTCGTTTCCTGTAAAAATAAAACCGGTGCGTTTCTAAATTGTCGTAGATTTGTGTCGGTGCGTTACCCCATCAATTTTGGAAGGTACATTTCATATAAATAAATGACGCTTATACAATGTTCGAATTGTAAGATATTGAAGAATAGTATGTTTATAACTATATCTATATTGAGTAAAAAAATCTGTGGTTGTTCCAATCATTTCTTTGACAAGAAATACAACATTTTAGACGAGCCTTTAACTTTCCTTCGAATTTTTCAAAGTGCATTTACATTTCGTTCACATAATACCGATATGTTACAGCTTTGTGGAATTTTAATAAGGTACCCTGATATATCGTGTTTAGAATGGAATGTGTAAAAAGATATTCACTCACCTCTGGTTCCCACTATTATTTGTTTCCTCCGGAGGAAACACATTTCCGTCGGCCATTTTAAAAGGACGGTGCGTTACCAACGCTCCGGGGAAAAGTGTAACACACCGGGGTCGATCCCCGGTGCGGTATGGTTGCTCACCGTGTAAATGCTCTAAACTTTCCCTTCGCTATCTAGGTCCTAATCTTTGGAATGCTCTACCACATGATATTAAAAAATGCTCCACTCTAAATATTTTCAAATCTTCATATAAAAAACTACTCATCTATCGATAATGTATAATACCAATATCATACTATACTGTTGATTTTATACTGATACCTGATTTTTGTAACATTTTTACATTGTACATCCTTAGATTAATTGTTAATACCATTTTTATATACCTACATGTAACATAATATAAGTGTTTTCTTTTATATGTAGTCTAGATGTCATTTTAATGATTTCTGTTAGACCGCAACATATACCCACTAGGGTGTCTATTGAATTGAATTGAATTATATATTTATTATATATTTTTATTTTTTGGGATCCTGTTTTTACGGCGTTCGCATTAAATACAAACCACTCTGTTACGTCACGTATATGACGTTCGTTGAATTATCGCAATCAAAATGTCAGACGAAATGGAATTTCCATTGCAATTTATCTGACTATTCAATGTTCGCTGGATAATAATTCCCAATGGGATAAACGGACAATCCTTATAGTTTTTCAAAAATATCACTTATATCCACTCATGGATATCAGTATCTTCACTCATTCGCTGCGCTCACTCGCGAAGATATCAATATCCACTCATGGATATAAGTGATATTTTTTCAGAGCCATAGGATATTCCTATATTATTCCATAGTTAGCATGATATCCATAGGATAACATGTCAAAATAAAAACGGTATTTTTGAAATCAGTGGTAAAATATGATATTTTTGGCAAATTTTCACTTAACCATAGCATACGGTGTTTTAGCCATGACATGCGGCGCCGTATGCCATGGTTTATGGATTTTTGCTACTTCAGACTCAAAACGAGGCTAAGTGTCAATATCGCCGTATCGTTTGGAAAATTCGTTTTAGATCACTTAATTCCCGAAGATTCTGATGATGACTTTAACTATGGAATATAAAGAACATCCTATGATTTACTCGTGATATGATTTTAATCTCTCGCTACGCTCACTCGTGCAGATATCATATCCATTCGTAGATAAAAATCATATCACTCATAAATCATAGGATATCCTCTATTTAAGATGTGATATTCGATAGTTTAAAAGTGATATTTGATGGTTTGTAAATTGTTTGCTAAAATATGATATCTTGATCCACATATCAAATATATCATCATGTGATATTCGATCTGTATTCCATACCTGATGAGGTTTCAGGGACATATCAACCGGGAATATATTCCATATCCGGGCAAATATTTTTCGTATGTCCCGCTCCAACGGAGCTCCAGGACATATAAATCGTATGTCCCGCTCAAAAAAAATTTGTAAAAAAAAATTTTAAAATAAATTCGGGAAAAAAAATTGAAAATAAAATTTGAAAAAATTGTGGAAAAAAATTATGTAAAAAAATGTTGAAAATATGTCGAAATTTTGAAAAAAAAATCTGAAAAAAAAATTATCAAAAAAAGTTGAAAAAAAAAATTTTGGAAAAAATGTGAAAAAAAGTTTGGGAATTTTTTTTTCATTTTTGAAAAAATTGAAAATAAAATTGGAAAAAAATTTGATTTTTTTTGAAAATGATAACATATTTTGCAAGTAAGCACCAGAGCATACGGGATACAATCTTATTATTTCAAACCTCATCAGGTATGGAATACAACAGTTATGCACGGTCGGTTTGGATACAGGAAATATCCCTTGGGATATACAATATATCTTCCCTTGGTCCCTTCGGTCCCTCGGGAAGATATATTGTATATCCTTCGGGATATTCCCTGTATCCAAAACCTCCCAGTGCATAACCCCTATATATCCTCCTTGCAACCATGGGATAAAGCTTTACGTCCCGCTCCAAGCGGGCAGATGTAGTATATCTGCCCGCTACGTCATAATCGCCGCTTGCATATTTGTTCATAATTTGTAACGTTCGCGGAATGACTGTAAACGGCAATGGAGAAAACACAGACAATCAGGGTCTGTTTGATAGTTAAAAAAGGGAAAGAGCATCCACTTTATCAATAAAAAATTCGAGAAAATAAATATGGGATTATTTGAGAGAACATGAAAATCCGCCCACAGCCAAGAAAACAAAACTGGACATGAATATTCTAAAATATTTCCACGATTTAACAATGTGAACCAGATGACCAAGATTGGTATGGGATAAACATATTATCCTATAGTCAGGATATTGGGATTATCCCTTGGCCAATATATAGGGGTTATGCAATTGGAGGTTTTGGATACAGGGAATATCCCGAGGGATATACAATATATCTTCCCGAGGGACCAAGGGAAGACATATTATGTATCCCTCGGGATATTCCCTGTATCCAAAACCTCCAAGTGCATAACTGTTGTATATAGTTTAGCATGATATGTACTTCTTTCTGTAACTGGAATACGATTCTAATATACAAGCAGCACATACGTATTCCCGGGGAACCATAAATATTTTGTGTAGTGTGTGGACATTTTTCTTTTCATTTCTCTAAAATCAGATTATTCTCATAAAATTCATACAAAGTTGGGCCTAAGCCTCTATTTTCGTATTCTGCATGTTAAGATATTTATAATGTAAAACCTAAGAGATAAATTCAATGTCTTCAGTTGAGAATAAGTATAAGGTAAATGTGTGAATTCTGCTTGTTGTTGCACTATTTTTATAATAAACAAGGTTCGATACGCAACACTGAATAGACTGCAGTCATAGCTTAGTTGTAAAGAAAACAAAAGAAGTTGGGACGTGGTCATGCTTGAATACGATTTTAAATATATCGCCGTTTACACTTGTTGAAATCGGCCTGTATTAATTTCAACAGGTGATCGGTGTACAAGGGCATATATTTGAGTTATTGGTTTAACGATAAGTATGACCTATGAGTGGGTAACGTTTTACAAATGCATGAAACAAATACTCCAATGGCCTAATCTCAATTTTCCTGCATAAACTATTACATTGAAATGATGGTCATTTGCTCTCTAACTTCCGCACCGCATACGTAACTTCGTAACAATTCAATAAGCCAAGACAGGACCGCTATAATCGCTACATGCCAGTGTGATATGGAGCTTATACATTGTACCGATGTGACGTTTACCTTTAAACCAACATCAAATACTAGTTTACATATAAAACATTCATGAAATATATAGAATGTCAATGTATTTACCAAGATATATCATTTGTGACTTGTCAAAAAATATTTTTTGAAACGTATGACGATGGATAAGGACTTTAAACTACGTTACCAAATATCCAGCAAAATAAAAGAACGAAGGCACTGTTTCCCACATATATTGTACGACAGCCTTGGATGACTTAATATGAGACCCTACTCTGTCGTTTAGTACTGAATTATAATAATTTATTTGCATTAAAATGTCACAAATATTAAATAACGTTACCTTAAACTACGTGAGACTTTTTTACGAAACAATCCTATTTGACTTGTTTTATAACTACAATCTTAATGACAATGGGCCATTGTGGGATCCACAGCCTTTACTATCCTTTTGGAATAGTTCTCTCAAAAACGTTAGATAAAGAGGGACTCTGATAAATCAGAATGACAATGGGCCATATGGTTAGTTTTGGTGCGCCATGGCGCCATGTTGACTCAAAGCTGTGTATTATCTCTGACAATCGACTACAATCCATCAAAATAATTGAAAATATGTAAGTAAATACCTAACTCCATTCACAATCTCAGTAAAAAACATTTAAGGAATTTTGGATACTAAATTCGAAGCACATCATTCATTAGAAACATGTTATTTGTGGTGCAAGAACAAAACTTTCAATTTGAAATATATTTGGTGAAATTCGATATTAAATGTTGGATAAATTGCGTTATGTTCGGTAACGTAATTTAAATCGATCGTTAATCCTTTTCTGACTTGATTTGGAGTTTCAAATAGGGGGACATCTTTCCGAAAATGGGTAAATCAAGAGCAGTGATTCAAAAAGCCTATATTGAATTGAAAAGAGAAATGGAAAAGATGGGGAAAAGTATAGAAAGAAAGGGCACGTGTTAAGGAAATGGTGGAACAGACAGAACATTTTTGAAAAAATTGCAATACCTGCTCATTATATTTTCTTTGACAATATAAAAAATGAAGGCATGTAGAAATTTCAGGAAAGTATCGTCACAGTGTCTTCTTTTATTGAGTCTGGTAAGAGATCAATTTAACTCCAGGAAATGCTGTAATTTCATGAAAAACATTCAAAATGGTCGTCTTTTCAATTTTTCAATGTTTTCTCAAAGTTTCTGTACGACACTTGAGTTACCACGGACCTTTTACCAAGGGAAAAGCACACATGCCATCATACTTTAAAGTGTCTCACATATTCGATCAAAATTTGCCATGCAAACATGTTAGTCTACTTTACTGGCCCCCCTTGCTGTAACAAGGAACACAAAACACATTAAAACGTAAACATAAACCAATTAGTCAGACGATCACTTCACTATGAAAGTTAGGGGTGTTCAAGGCGAAATGTGTATTAGCAGAATACGCTGTGTGCATGGACTAATACAATGTCAGTGGTCATTTACTGTGTCAACTTAGTAACCCTTGCATATCGTGCTTACTCAAGTATTGAATACTTTTTTATGATCTAAATGCTTGTGGTTTATAAAAAAATGTGATATGTTTTAGTTAGAAATACATTAATTAATATATTCATTCAAAAAGCACTAGAATGCGGGAAGAAAGAGCAATTGTGCCAAAATGCAGACAAAATTTTCCGTAAGGGTTTCAAACATATCTGGACACAATCATACATGTACTTCATGTGAACTGTTATTTTTAGTGCTGTATTTATAGATATAATGTCACATATTAAAATCATATTTTCTACCCTGCGTGC